AAGAGACAGCTGGCATATTTCTCCAGCCATTCTCTTTATTGATTGTTCAGTGTCAGCCATTCCATGTGGTCAAGATTGAACACTTTCATTGCTGCTTGTCATCATTCCTCCAAAATCCACATACCAAAAATATGACCATTCTCTGTGATTCATCAAAGGAAAACATAGTTGGTATCCTGGAAGCCTAGAAACCCTCCTTTTTAAATTTTTGACAAGAATTCCCTTTTTCCATTGCCAAGTTCTCTGCCAGGAAAGCCAGGAAGTTGTCCATCCTTAGTCAACAATGAACAAACTCTTGTTTTTGTAGCACCAACCCCCTTCCTTCCACACACCCATGCAGTAGGCTTCACAGGGCTACTGGAGCCTGTAATTTACCATCTTAAGCTGGTAATGTGGCTTTGGATGCCCTGGTTTTGCCAAGTCATTATCTGGAGGGAACACTTTGTCTGTTTTGCAAGAATCTTCTTTTTTCTTTCTTTCTTTCTGTTCCCCTAAGTGTCACTAGTTTAGCTTCAGAATACTCCAGGCTGAATTAAAGCCAGCCCTAGAGAAAGAAGGAAATTACTGTCTCTAGTATGTGGCCTGAATTCTTCAGTTTCAAAATGCTTGATCCAGAAAACCTAAGGAACAAGAATCCTGCACTCTGGTTCCTTAATGTTTGGCCAGGAACACAGACTCTGCCTATTTTCAGTGACAACTGAGAACTTGATGCCCTTGTACAAACCAAGAGATTCTGGCCACAGAAAGTGGAATGGAAGGCAGCCATATTTTAAATTCAGCTGATTAGTCTGCATTGGTGAGCACAGATATTTCTCTCATAGAATCTTCAAATATTTCATGGCCACAAAGAATGAAAGCATGTCCAAGACTGAAGTAAAAGTTTGAATCCGGTGGCACCTTTAAAAAGACCAACAATGTTTAATTCTGGGAATAAGCTTTTATGTGCATACACAAAAAAAAGTTTATATCCAGAATTAAAGTTTGTTGGTCTTAAAGGTGCCACTAGACTCAAACTTTGTTCTGTTGCTTCAGACCAACATGGCTAGCCACCTGAATCTATCAAGTAAAAGTTGTTAGATGTTGATTTTTTTAAAAAATCTGATGTTACCTACTGAAATTCTGTCTTTGTGATACAGGACTGTAATGAAGTATTTTTATGAAGTTTTAAAAAACTTTTCTCAGAATACAAAGAATTTTTACAATTATTCATCCATGTTTCTATTATTTTTTCTCCTATTCTGTCAGCAGGTTTTTGTTAAATATTAGATCTTCCAGAAATGTCATGGGAATAACAAGTTTTATCAACACTATAGAGGCATTTAGGCAGAACTGTGTACCTTAGCACAGAAGCTAGTAATGAAAACCTTATCCAGTCTGCTAATGAATTTCAGTTCTGGTGTCTTGTGTTGTAGTTATTCTGGATTAACCCCAGAACACATATTAATATTGCCATCACAGGGACACCACTGAAAACAGATCACCAACTTAGCTGTAGCAAACAGAATTAATTGTCAAGCATATCTCCAGGGTCACATTAGGTTTGTCTGGACTTTTTCTAGCAGTGGTTAGGAACTTGGAGTAGGAGTCCATGGAGGCTGATAACATGTTCCATGGGGAAGCAGTTCTACGTGTCATGGCCTGCCATGGGGAGATACTTGTGGTAGCATCCCTGTGGCAACTGCAATGTACATTTGGCTCCAATTCTCACCTTAAGAACAAAGATAGAATGTTCAGGTTAACAATATTCCCTTGTTAAATATGAATGAGCCTTTGATAGCATATCCTAAAGGGTTGGCCTAGTTTGGCCTGAGCTTGTCAGGGCTTGGGAGCTAAACAGGGGTGACCATTGTCAGCAAGGGAGACTGGGGTTGCTTTGCAGAGGAAGACATTGGCACCCCTGCTTCTCTTTTGCCTGGAATACCCCATGGATGGGGTTGCCGTGATTCAGTTGCAACTGCACAGCACATTCTTTTTCTAGCCAAAATAATAAAAGTGGCATCTTAAAGACTTACTAATTTGTTATGGCATAAGCTTTAGTGAGCTAGAGTCCAATTTGTTTGATGCATAAGGGGGTTTTGAATGTAACATTTCATGTTTCTGATGAAGTAGCCGCTTGATAATGAAAGCTTTTAGCTGTAATACATTTGTTAGTCTTTATGGTGCCATAGTACTCTTTAACATAGTGATGGTTTTTCAAGATAGCTTTATTCAGCCTATAAAGTGATTGTCCCATTGTAAAACAATCTATTTTACGGTGATTCATATGTTTATGTGCTCAGTAATCAAGGCATGCCATCTTCTTTTTCAAGCAATTTTGTCAATGTGCTCTTCATAACTCTAATGGAAACACTTGCATATGCAAGTTAGTGCCACAGTAAACCAATAGTCACTTAAAAGTTGATGTTGTTGTCTGAGGCGGGCATTACTGTAAAGAAGTGGGTTTTCCACATTCATCAGTGGAAACACCCCCTTATATACATCCAACAACAATATATGGCTTAGGTCACCTCATTTTAAAATGTCCATCTAGAGATGTTCTGCAAATACTTAGCAATTATATTATATTTCCAAAGGTCCAGAGTATTTTACATACCCTTAGAACAACTCTGTAAGGTTGGTCATTATCTCTATATTACCATCTCTCCAAATGTGAAGGATGAGGCTGGGTGAATAGAAACTTCTCAGACTGCTAAGCACATTCATTTGAACTAGGGGATTCATTCCCACTACTACAGTATCCCAACTTTTCAAAAAAGTTGCCTTTGAACCACAAGGAAAAGTGGGGTAAAAAGGTAAAGGTTCCCTTGCTCGAAAGCCAGTCGAGTCCGACTCTAGGGTTGCGGTGCTCATCTCCGTTTCAAAGCCGAAGAGCCAGCGCTGTCCGAAGACATTTCCGTGGTCATGTGGCTGGCATGACTAAACACCAAGGCGCACGGAACGCTGTTACCTTCCCACTGAAGTGGTACCTATTTATCTACTTGCAATTTCTTGCTTTCGAACTGCTAGGTTGGCAGGAGCTGGAACTAGAGACGGGAGCGCACTCCGTCATGCGGCACCCGGGTCTCGAACTGCTGAACTACCGACCTTCCACAGCCTGCAGTTCAGCGTCTTAACCACTTGGGCCACCGCAGCTCCTAAAAGTGGGGTACAAATGTTATAATTAATAAATAAATTATAAATAAATTATAAACAAATAAATAAATTATAAATAAATAATAAACAAAACAGAGTAGCTCATGGTCCCACATATACCTATGTTAGCCATTTGTTACCTAAGAAGGAAAAGAATCACCTAAAAGGGACTGTGGTGACTATTTATAGGCTTGGTCTAGAATTTTGTGCCGCATGACGGAGTGAGCTCCCGTCTCTAGTTCCAGCTCCTGCCAACCTAGCAGTTCGAAAGCAAGAAATTGTTCTGCTTTTCACACTTAGCACACCAGAAAACTGAAAAGTGTCAAGTATTCTTCAATCGACTTAAAATTTTGGTTTCAAGAACAAGAGATGTGAAACATTGACATCCTTTGGAAATCTATTTTTCCTGTTAATTGGTCAGAATATACCAGGACGATTCTTAATAAGACAGTTTTTAAATCGAAATTGTTGAATTTCGAACAGAAGTAGGTAATATCTTTAAAATTCATCATAGAATTTGATGACAGATAAAGCAGTGTCCAGTATCATCATCATATAAAGAGATATAGTGCTGGCAAAGGGCAAAGTGACCAAGGGGTTGGAGAAAAAAAGGCTTAGAGAAAAAGGCTGAAGTTTTTGTTGCTTTTTGGTTGAGAAAAAGATGCCTGCTCAGAATGTGTAATGAAAGGGGTTTATGAAAACTGGGAATTCAAAGAATGCAAAGCACAGGTTGTTATAATGCAATAACAATATTCAACTGCTGATTTAAGAAAACAGTGTGTGTGGGGGGGGTGGCTCCTGCCAGAGGACTGGGGCAGAAAAAATGCAGGGAAATCTGCTGTGTGAAACTCTGCTCTGCTGTATTGGCTGTCACAGTAACAATGGGGAAATTACACAAATCCATCCCTGTGTAGAAAACAGTGTAGATGCTAGAAGCTGTCAAACTATCTTCTGTTGTTTTGATCAGCAAAATTCTAATCATGGTATCACTACTTACTAATGAAAGATGTATCATAACCTTTAAAGGAGGCAACTTACTAGCAGAACAGAATCACAATATTAAAAAGCAGCAATATACCATATTTAACTATACAGCCTTAGCAGCCTGTTTCAAAGAGGTGGGATCCTAACATGGCACAATCCTATATATGTGCTGTTGAACCACAATGGGTGGTTGTGGTATTTCAAAAATAGTTGTACAGCCATATTGGTCCACACAAAATCAAAAAACAAGTAATCCGTATAATGCCTTTTATTAGGACCAACCAACATGGCACAAAACAATGTGTTAGTTTTTGAGTTCATCAGAGCTGTTCATCAGGCTGGATGTTACAAAATTTAAAAGGGTAGAGAGCAGAATACTCAGGGCAGGATGCTAAGGACTGGTCTTGGCAGCATCCATTGTAAGATACCAGATGCGATCGTTCAGACGGAGAGCAGTCAGGGGGGCCCTTTCACCTTGTGAATCTGCAGGCTTCCTTGAAGCAAACATATGGCAGAGGAATGCAACAATAGTTCTCTTTGCAGCTCCTCATCTCTTGGGTATGGGTACATGTCTTCCCCTCCCCCCAAGAAAAGGCAGCAATATGGAACAAGCAGCCATGAAATTATAACTGAGGAGAGAGAGGTTTGGATGAGTACACATCTGCGGCCACCGCTTGTGAGGCAAAGAACATTCTGGCTGGGGAACTTTTGCCGGGCTGGAATGGGTACAAATCTCCTCCTCTGTGATGCCACGCCCGGCCTAGAAATGGGTATCAGAGTAGACCATACCTCCCCCCCCCCTCCCGAAGGAGGGTCCGGACCTGACCCCGCCTCTTATGAAAGTCTGCCTGCTGTACATTCATTGCTGACAGTGCCGCCGGGAGCTTGGAGGAGGCTCGCAGGGGGAGGGGAGGCAGCTTTGCAGGGCTCTTTGCCTCTACCTCCCGCTTGCCGAGCCCGCCGCTTCCGTTCCTGACCATCATTCCCATCCCCGAACACATGGAACTGCTGTGCGGCGGGGAGGGGGTGATCCGGGCGAAGCGGGACCCGCAGTTATTAGGTAACCGGCGCGTCCTGCAGAATCTGCTAAGCCAGGAAGAGCGCTACAGCCCCAACGTCTCTTACTTCCAGTGCGTGCAGAAAGAGATTCAGCCCTACATGCGGAAGATGTTGGCTTTCTGGATGTTGGAGGTCTGTACAGGATCTCTGAAAATCGGGGTTCCCCCTCCGGCTTCCTCCGAGCCCAGCGAGCACGTTTTTCCCCCTCACGCCTAACTCTAAAGGCGTGTTGCTTTTTTTGCCGTATTTACTCGGAAGTGACCCTCATTGATTTTAAGAGGGCTTACTTCCAAGCAAGCATGTTTAACAGTGCACCCGAGCCGATACATGTTTACTTTGCTCAGGAGTAAATCCCATTGAGATCACTGGAATTTACACCCGAAGTAAGCATGCATTGGGCTACGGCCTTAGTTTCTATTTGGTGGGTGACAAGATCAGTTGAGGGAGATTCCGTGGCTCGTGAGAACAGGAGGGATTCTTTTAGAGTTGGGTGTGTGTGTGTGTGTTGTGTGGGAGGGGGATTTAAAGGGGGTTGTTTACTGTAAGAAGTGCACACGGTATAACGGGAATTCGCAGGCAAGCCTGCTTTTGGGGGGAATGTGCAAAACTGAATTATTCAAGAGGGTTTTTCTATGCACTGCACAAAATGATTCACAAAATTACTTGGACAAATTATTAGGGATTATGGTCTATACTGCTGTGTAATTTTGCATCATTTAATGTGTCATGTTAACAGGTTTTGCTTCAGTTCTGTTTTTTAGAGTTCCGGTTGGCTCTACAACCCAAATCCTAATTCATTGGTTATGCAGTGCTCCATCTTGTTGATGTACTAACCCACGGTGTGTAATCCGTGGACTATGAATAACGTAAATAAAGTAGATTATTTGAGAAATGGGAAAACTGAACGACTAAAGACTAGGTCGATTCCCTTTCCAGTGTTGCCTTTCAGTATTGGGAGTCAGCTGAAAAGCACCCTGTTAGCTGTGCCGGTGGGGGGGGCTATCCAGGCTGTTATGAACCTTTCCCAGGCGACCTGTAGGGGGCTCCACTCACCGCCTGTGTCCGGTGATGCAGATCACTAGACTATTATATTTGTCACAATTAATTGCAGACTTTCAAACTCGAGTGCCAGACTGCAGAGGAGTTGGAAAGGGAGAAAAAGAGTACCCAGCTACAAAAGTATCTTGATCTATTTTAAAGAAATGCATTGACATGCAATTTAAAAAATCATTTCTTTAGCAGAGATACTGCAGATGGTATTTAAAAGAAACATAGAATTTAAAAAAAGCATTCATTGTACAGCAAATCTGAGTCTTAATTTGTTTTGGCTGGCTTGTAAATAGCCACTTGCCCAGTCATCAGTAGGGAGCAAGAGTCACCTCAATAACTCCATGCAGAGAAGCGTTTATAAATTGGAAACGAATGGAGATTTAAAAAAAAAAAAAATCTGACAACTAAAGTAACGTGTGGGCAGGTAGTCTACTGAATTTTTTTCTGGGCTGAAGAATTTACTTGCCTTCAAGTCAAAGATATTATACTGAAATGCATATGAATTTCAAACTAATGATAGAGGCTGACTGGTATTTTAAAAGTAAATAAAAGCTATGTAGCAACAAGTACATACAAAAGGAAAATATCTAGTTGGCAATTCTTAGGAGGTAGAAAGGTGGTGTGAAACATCAATGAGCTTTGCAAGCTCAGCATTTTACTTATTAAGCCGACATAATTCAATATGGACAAAGTTTTGGGAACCCTGTCTAGTCAGTGGTCAGAATGAAGGACTTGATGTCAGGGCTTTTTTGATTCCACAAGTGGTTCTTGGTTAATATGCTGACATCATTTGATGGCTTCCTCCCTTCAAGCACCATTCATTTCAGCGGCATATGCACTGAGACAGAGTTTGTGACATTCTGCTTTCAGGAGGAATAATTTTCAAAACCAAGTGCTGATTTCTGTGTTCCAAATCTGAAACATCTCTAGCTTGGGTTCATTGGATACCGACCAAAATAAAATATCTTCTGCTCTGAAGGAATGAATACATTGGACCAAGCTGGTTCAGTTGATGGTCAATATCTCTGGTGGTTTGAATGTCTCAAGAGAGGCAGGCTCATGAACACATGAAGCTGCCTTATACTGAGTCAGACTATTGCTCCATGAGGGTCAGTATTGCCTGCTCTGACTGGCAGCAGCTCTCCAGGATGTCAAGAGGAGATCTTTCACATCATCTACTACCTGATCCTTTTAACTGGAGATGTTGGGGATTGAACCTAAGACCTTCTATATGCAAAGTGGGTGCTCTGCCACTGAGCCACAACCCCGCCCAGTTTTACAAGATACCCATTTTACATAAGAACACACTGTTTTATTCTCCCCTCAAGAAAAATGAAGAAGTAAAATCTAAAGCATTAAAGGATTCCACCATCCACCCAAAAATTACCATATATGTTTAACATGAAAATTGTCTGATAGAAAATTCTGTGTCAATTATTCCTTTTTTATGTCTGGATCATTGCAGTATTTGAGTGCTTGGTTGTGAAGCACTCTGTGAAGAGAGAAACAGCTACTTCCATTTTACAAGTGTGGCTCAGTGGCTTAGCCAAGTTTTCAGAAAGCCCTGGTAGAGCAGGTAACTGTACCTTGATCCCTGTTTAGCATCTTAAGCACCTGTATGCCTTGCTTCATCTTGACAATGTGTATTTTTGAAGCTTTTGTAAAGACTGAAGCAAATGATTGCCTGATGTATAAACTTCCATTGTTTTTCTGGGTTTTGTCAGGTTTGTGAGGAACAGAAGTGCGAAGAGGAGGTTTTCCCCTTGGCCATGAATTATGTGGATCGCTACCTGTCTTGTGTCCCCACTCGCAAAAACCACTTGCAGCTTTTGGGTGCTGTCTGTATGCTTCTAGCCTCCAAGTTGCGAGACACCATGCCACTAACTGTGAAGAAACTCTGCATTTATACAGACAATTCTATCACACCATGCCAAGTTTTGGTAAGCTCTTTCCATTCTCTTCCATGATAGGATTCCATCTCTGAGATTCCTTGAGAGCTGGCTTTTGCAGGAGTAGCAAAATGTGATTTAAAACTGAACAGCCACTGATGAAGTGCAGATACTAGAGCACTATGACCACTTCCAATAGTAGTTCCATTTGTAAACCAGCAAAATAAAGTTTAAGGATAAACTTATCTAGCATATAAGGGGTACTTTTCACTTACATCTTCCATAGCTGTTTTTCCCTGTGCACATGATGCTCTGGGGGGTTTTCCCCCCCCATAGGGTTGGGCTGTATGCTATGATGCTTAGTCTGATAGCATGTAGTTCCTTTGTCATCATTAGCACACCAGTTGTCAGACTGAGCACTCATTTAAAGTAGCTGCAAATGTGGGATGCTTTGGTAACAACCTTGGGCCAATATCATAGCCATTGTTGTCCATACAAGCAACTTAACTTCTACACTTTCAAAGATTGTTTTAGGTCATTTTTACCAGAGGTATTGTTTAACCCATAAATTTCAATCAGCATGCAAAAATGCCAAACAACCATGAGACTAAATTCTTCTACAGCATATATTTAATTTGTTTATTTGGCTAAAGTCTTTGGTTGAATGGGGTGCTGGTTTTCTAGAGACTAAAAGGAATGGACACCTCCAAGGAAGATGTACTGTCCTTTGGCTTGCTGTGATTTTTCCTTTCCACTGAGTATGTTAACGAAGAGGGTTTCTTTGGCATAACCACTCATAGTATCACAACTTTCCTCCAAGGCCAGGGCCTTTAGTTCTTATCACCTGTGATGGATGGCTGCCATCAAGGTTCAAGCTGCAGTGCAGGATGGTGCAGGAATGTGATGGTAGAGATGGGAAGGTCTGGATTGCATTGTTCTAACAGTCTCTCAGTTTCAAATCTGAGAAAGTACCTTTAGGCATGCCCAGTTTCATCCATGTTGCTTTTCAGCACAGTGAGACAATGACCCTTCACATGAGAGACACAAGCCACACTGAGGGAGGAGAATTGTGTCTTCCCTTTGAGGAGCTTCTGCACAGTTGTCCTCCTTCACAAGGAATCAACCATCCTGTGGTGATTTAAATCCCCAAGAAAAGAGGCTCATTTACTGTTTGAATATTTTTTTACAGTTTCTTAATTTGCGTATTTCTTGGAGAAAGACATATTCCAATTGGTTACTCTTGCTATTAAAGCAAACCTGTTCACAGTTAATTACTGTCTAATCGTTTCTATTCTCTGCGATCATAATTCAAAATGGTTGGTCTTGTAAAAAGCAAGTTGTCTTCACTAGAGAATTTATATTTGCTTAGGAGGAAGAGGAGGAGATTGGATTTGTACCCCGCCCTTCACTTGGAGTCTCAGAGCGGCTTACAAACTCCTTTCCCTCCCCCTCCCCACAACAGACACCCTGTGAGGTGGGTGGGGCTGAGAGAACTCTGACACAAACTGCTCTTTTTCAAGGACAGCTGTGCCAGAGCTTGTGACTGACCCAAGGTCACATCAGCAGGTGCAAGTGGAGGAGTGGGGAATCAAACCCGGTTCTCCTAGATTAGAGTCCGCGCACTTAACCACTACACCAAACTGGTTTAGAAGAGCAATTGTGCAGTCAAGAATCGTTTGGCTCTAAATATATGTCAAAATCATTTATCTGAAGACTAAATTCACAGAATTTTCCAGAAGCAAGGACTAGTATTTATTGAGCAAAACAATCTTATCTCAATGCTGTGGGAAGGAAATAGACATGTTGTTTGGTTGAGAGTCTATATATTGGTATTTTTCACAATAATAAATACAATGTATAGGCTGTTTCATATTTATAAAGCTTGACCTCAAAAGTCACATATTGTTGTCCCTGATTTATTTTTCTACATAGAAATGCAGGCTTCAGCTCATCATGTTTGAAAGATCAGGTTCAGTTTACAGGAATTATGAATGTAGACCTTAATAAGATGGCAATATATTTCTGATATCTGTAAGAGACTGTTTTGTTGTTTTTTAAAACTGATCTAATTTAAAACCCCATTTTTATTTTGAAAGGGGTTGATTTTTATCTGCCCTTTATGCCAGGATACCAACATTCATTGGGAGAGTTTGTTCTCTAGATGAAATCAAGGTTAACTACCATTTGTGCAATAGAGTGTTAGAGTAGGATCTGGGAGGTCCAGGTTCAAATCCCCACTCTGCTTGCCATGGAAGCTCATTGGGTGACCCTGGGCCAGTCACTTTCTCTCTGCTGTTCATTCCTCACAGTGTTTCCAGGAGGATAAAATGGGGAAGGGGAAACCATGTGTGCTGCTCTGAGCTCTGTGGAGGAAGTGTAGAATAAAAATACAATAAATCTGGCTGGGATTTTCTGGAGGGAGGCTTCTTTCTTGGTGGAAAATGAACAACAGTACAGTACAAGAGTGAGATTAGAGAGATTATGGCAAAGGTCAGGGTTTTTTGGCAAACAGGTGAATCTCTTCTGCTTCATGCATCTCTCTTTTTGGCATTTACCAGGTGGTTGTTGCTTTGCTTGAGCAAAAAGCAGAGATGGGTTTTACGTAAGGACCTGCATTTGGTGAGGGTGGGAATTGTCCATCTAGGCATAAAGAACTTCAGTAACCTCCATTTGCAGGCATTTTTGTTTGCTGTAAATTCATCCTTCCTCTTTTAGGAGGTGCCATGCAAGCAGTTTCTTCTCATTCATGTAGGTCTTTGACAGGTAGAGCTCATTCCCTGACAAGTGGACCTTTCTGTTTACAAGGCTGGAAAAGTGTATATGAAGAACGAGAAGGTCCCTTTCAGCCTGGTTTCCTCCTGCTTGAGTTCACATTGGACAGTGTGCTAAGAATGAAAGTTTGTTTGTTTGAACCAGAGGAATCAAAATGTTCTCCATTTCAGTATTGTAAAGCTGAACATTTCTGCCTATTGAAGCGGTATGGTATGGCCAGTGGCTAAGAAAGAAAGGCTGGATTTCTTTGGCATGCTAGGAGGTGGATCTTCCTCTGCACAGAATAAATTTAAAGCCACTGAGTAATGCCCAGTGATGCTTCTGGGTGATTAGTACAGACAGGACTGTGACTTTGCCCCTTGAGACTATCTCTGGTCCTTCAGTGGAGAGCTGTAAGTTTCCAAGGGGAAAGGTGGGATATAAATATTTTAATAAATAAACTTCAGGATGTAGAAAAGAGCAAGAGTCCAGTAGCACCTTAAAGACTAACATCTTGATCAAACTTCAGGATGATTCTTATTTCGCTTCTGCTCTCGGAAGATTACCAGTACTAAGAAAAGTCAGTGACTCCCTTGGGAACCCTGGATGGCATTTGCTTCTGGGGCTGACAGTGTTAATGCTTCACTTACACAACTGTAGAGAGCTGCTACTTCCCTCCTGTGTGCTAATGATGTCCCATGCCTCTCTTCTTTCACAACTGGGCAAGTGAGAGTGATCCGGGGAGAGGAAAGATAAAGCATCTTCATCAAGGCTTGGACAATGGCTACATCCTGGCTACTTATCAGGATGTAGCATCAAGGCAGCTCCCTGCTGGCTCCTGGAAGGAAAGCTGCCTCACTTTCCCAGTGCGTCTGTTTCCTCCTTGCAGAAGAGGATGCCTGCTTGACACCCTCTCAAAATCATGATGAAGTTATTCTTAGTAGGTGGAAATGATGCAACAAGGAATTTATCCATTTGAAGGAAGCTGAGTTTCCGTCCATGGGTATTATCTAAGCTGCTTTGCACTTTTCATTCAGCCAATTTGCTACATGCACATTGAGCTGCAAAAATTGTCAAAGAGAACATTGAATGTCAGCAGGTCACAAGGGCTGTAGTTTGATGGGATCTGCTTTCAGAGTTTATTCATTAACCATCTGGTCTATACGGCAGTAGGGATTCTTGTTCTTTGAGATATTCCAGGCTGCTCCATGGCCATTGGCATCTCCGCCATTTAACCAGAACATTGCTGAAAAGCAAGAGAACATTCTTGCATTTCCTTCCCTCTTAGGGATCTCTTAGGCATTTATTGGTAGTTTATAAACTTCCCTTGGTATGAGAAACTAGTATCCTGAGGTGATCTGCAGCTGGGGGACCACATTTTGCATGCTCCCCCCCCCCGGCTAAAAAGATCCCTGCAAGCTGAGAACTAATATAGTAATGAGAGCTGGCTTGTTCAAGGGAAGTTGCTTGCGGGGTGGGGGAGCATGCCTGTAACACACTTACTTTCTGAAGCAAACAAAGAAATCAGCTTCCCTGATATTCATCCTAAGAGCAGTTAGGTGTTGAGTGCTTTGGGTGTGGCCCTTACTTAACAAGAATTGCCTTACGGCACAGAGTCTCTATGGGAAGTTAGTGTGTCAGAGTAGGATATAGGAGACCCCAGTTTCAAATCACCACATGGCCATGAAGCCTACTGAGTGACCTTGGACCGCTCACATTCTCTTTCAGCCTATCTGCCCAGGTTGTTGTGGGGACAATATAGGGGAGGGGAACTGTGTAGGCCATCCTGATCTCCTTGGAGGAAGGGTGGGATAGAAATGTCTGAGAGAGAGAGAGAGATCTTGGGGAAGGGTGGTGGCTCAGCAGCAGAGCACATGCTTTGCTTACCGAGGGTCCTGAAATCAGTCTCTGGCAACTAAACTGATTCTTAAATTATTGTGGGAGTTCCATGGTTCATCACATTTTAGAAGGCTTCCAGTGGCTTGCCAAGCTTACAGTTGTAGGAAGGAAATCAGTAGCATATGCAGATCTTGATGCAGCTCTGCTTTCTGCTTATCTGTACAAAGGAAAACAGAAGGGTGAGTACCCAAAGCTTGTTTGCATCCTAGCTTCTGTTCACCAGCAGTAGCAGAAAATTTGCTTTTGTTGGAATGTCATACTAAATCCTCTGTGTTTCTTTAGAATGGTCTTGAATCTTGCTGTGTTGTTGTTGTTGGTGTCCTGTATTGAGTCTCTTTGAAAAAGGTCCATAACACATTTTTTTTTCTATTCAGGAATGGGAGGTTTTAGTCCTAGAGAAGCTAAAGTGGGACCTGTTGTCGGTGATAGCAAATGACTTCCTGGATCATATTCTCCAGCGGCTTCCACTTCCCCAGAATAAAGTGGACTTGGTGAAGAAACATGCACAGACTTTCATAGCATTGTGTGCCACAGGTATAGTTTGTGTTGTGATAGATGGCCTTCATGGGGAGGGTGGAGCAGTAGCTGGATTACAAAGCTGAAAAAAGGCTGACCTTAATTTTGATTTTGAGCTACACTCAGGAAAGTCTCAGATGCTCATTTCTCAGAGACTGGGGAGCTCTCACATTGAGACCAGGATCCTTAGCTTCTGAGCTTCTGAAAGGTACAAATTATACACAGAAAGATTCTCTGTTGATAGGTGATATATAACATCATCATCAACAAAATGAAAGGCTAGTGTTACGTATTAAGAAGAAATACAGTAAAGGCATTCTGCTCACAGAAACTGCTACTACCTGGGTGCCATAACTGAGCCTTTTCCAGAAGTTACTGTTGTGTTTGTGAGAAGGCTTTATCACATACAGTGGTCTTCAGTCTTTCCAGACTTGAGATTCACTTTTAACTATAAGCAGCAACATGGAAACCACTGAGCTGCAAACACATGGCAGGAAGTCACATGACTTCATAACCATGTGACAGAACAAGGAGGGGGCAGAGCCTGTGTGAAAGAGAAATCCTCTCCTTTGCTTAGTGACCTCACCTCACTGTTCTGCTGCTCCCATCAGGGTGTACAAAAGGAGAAAGAGAGGGCATGGCACCCTTGATCTCTGTGTGTACATAGTAGTATAGTAGAGAAAGAACTACTTTTCTCCCTTTTGTCACAATACACTCAATGGAATTGCGGAGCAGTCGGGTTAGAATGGATTAAAGGAAGTACCTCTTCATCCAAAGAGCAATTAACACATGGAATTCATTGCCACAGGCTTCAAAAGGGAATTGGATAAACATAGCCAGCTCCAAGAGGGGATTGGATAAACATATGGAGGAGCAGGTGGTCCATCAGTCGCTATTAGCCTCAAGGTAAGGAACTCTCAGTCTGGGGCAAGTGATGCACTGTATTCTTGGTGCCTGGGGGAGGGGAGCCAACAGTGGGAGGGCTTCTAGTGTCCTGGCCCCAGTGCTGGACCTCCTGATGGCACCTGGTATTTTTGGCCACTCTGTGACAGAGTGTTGGACTGGATGCGCCATTGGCCTGATCCAACATTGGCTTCTCTTATGCTCCTATGTTATGTTCATTAGCAACAGATATTTTCATAGCCCCAAAACAATGGGGCCCAGCCCATGGGTTGAAGAGCACTGTGCTGGAGTCTGGACTGAGGGAGATTTAAATCACAGCTGTAGAGTGCTGTCCCGCTCTATTCTGTGTGTGTTCTAATCTGGTTTGTGTACCTTGGGTCAGCGAGTAAGACCGCTTATGTGCCGTTGGCCATCCAGAGTAGGCATGGAATCACTCCGGAGTTATCCCTACATGCTTGGAGTGGATTTGCACTTTGACTTATGAGCTCTTCAGCTGCTTTTATTGTACGTGTGTGAGGGAAACGTCCAGTATCACCACACAAAAGCCTGGTCTCCACATGATCAAGTGCTGAGGAGGTGGAACAGACTGCAGTATTTCAGACTGGCTGTTGGATTTTAGTATTCTGTGCCCCTTCATGTATGAAAAACAAAACCTTTCCTGCAAATAGAAAATGATCATAGGTGGGAAGAGGGGTTCTAGACCTGCTTTTTGACTGCTGTGCTAGGTGTATATTTGCAAGGATATTTAAAAATTGAGTGCAGTTAGGATACAGTTTTCCTTTATTGGGATCTTTTTCTGAAGTTCCTCCAGTAGTATGCCATCAAAAAAAAATTGTCTATATTCTTATTCAAAGTGCCAGACTGGCCCCAGGGAATTAGACATCTTACACAAGCTTCACATATTTTCCCATTTGTGTTTCAGTCCTATGCCAGCAGACATGTCTGGTGTGTTTCACCCTGGCAAGTTGTTTTGCTAGTTTCAGGGATGGCAGAGAGAAAGGACATTGTGGCTGCCTAACATCTGTAGGATGCACTTCCCTGTCACTTCTGGGTGATCTGTGAGTGAATGAAGACTGCCCCATGCCATAATGCATTCCCACTTTCTTCCCCTGATACCGATAAACCATCAATTGCTTGGACTAATGTATGGTGGTATTAACAGCATGCCCAGAGGAAGCAGTTGTAATACAATTGTTGGGTTACACTGCATCTCCCATAAAGCCAGTGGATTTCAGTCTTCTCCAGAGCACTGCTGGAAAACAAGCTTCTAGCATTTTCTTGCAAGATTCTTTATGCAAGATAACGGATTATGTGTGTTTTTGAATAGTGAAGAAAGTTTCCAAATTCTCCACTTACTAATTAGCATTCAGGCTCAATTCAAGGTGTTGGTTTTAACCTTAAAAGTAAATCGAAGGTCCAGTGGCATCTTAAAGACTAACAATATTTATTTCAATACATGCTTTCATGAATCATATTGAAATAAATGCTGTTAGTCTTAAAGGTGCCACTAGACTTTTATTTTGTTACAGCAGACTAACACAGCTATCCCTCTACATATAACCTTAAAGGCCTGTCATGGTCTGGGACCTACTTATCAGCAGGACCACCTCTGCCCATGTAGTCCCCCCTGCCACTTAAGATCTGCATTCGATGTCCTGCTCCATATTCCATTAGTGCATGAGGTCAAGGAACAGGGCTTTTGGAGTGGTAGCTCTGGAGTTATCAACTGGCTTCCCGGGGAAGGTCTTCACTGAACTGCAGTTAGGAGCCAAAGTCAGATGGGCCAGATTCTTCATGCTGCTGTTTTGGGATACCTGTGTCATTTGAATTTTATTTTTATTTTTCTTAGTCGTGTTGCTGTGATCTTAATGATTACTGTGAGCAGAATGTGTGCAGAATGAGGCAAGATATAAACATTTTAAATAAATACTAAAGTAGCTTAGATTTTAGATATGAATAAAAGGAGAAGATTATCTATGACTACCACCCTTTGTCCCTAAATATGACAAATTTATCTGATCAGTTTATTTTTTAATTTGCTTAGTTTTCAGTAATATACAATCCATATGTATCCTATGATTCCTTACATCAACATGGGCTCTGTCTTCAGTTGTTTTCCCTTCTCTTAGGTATCATACCTTAACTGGATGTTGTGGCAGTCAATGACTATCTTTCTCTTTTCCTTTCTCTAACACTTTCTGCTCCTCTGGAATTTGCAGATTACATCTTTGCTATGTATCCACCATCTATGGTTGCCACGGGTAGTATTGGAGCAGCAATCCATGGTCTCTCTGCCTCATCTGATTGTATTACTGGTGAGGAGCTTACAGAACGGCTTGCTAGCATTACCCGCACAGAGGTGGTGAGTATGTGCTGCAAGGGAGCAAGGTGCAGAGTTGGGAAACAGAGATTCTGCTCACATTTTGCTGCTGGGCTTCCGGCAAATTTTGCTGGCCCAAACAATGAGCATCTCGCTTTCATTTATGAAGTGGCCAGAGATTCTGACTGTTGCCAAGTAGCATGGCACTTAACATGTTTTTGCACAAAGAGATACAGAGTAGAGAAACAGTGGCTCACACCTCTAGTTGCCAGTTTGTTTATGGGGCAGTCCCAAGCAGAGTTATATCCTTCTAAGCACACTAATTTCAGTGCCTTAGAAGGGTGTAACTCTACTTTCAGTTGCACTGCCAGAGGCTCTTGACCGTAAAACATTTCTGGCAGCACAGTTGCTGTAGTTCTGCATAGCAGCATTAAAGTAATGAAATGCTTGGGATTCTATCATGCTTGGGATGCTATCATTTTGAGGTGTGCAGGCGCATGAAAAGAAGCATATGAGAAGACACCTGGATGGAGAAAGGGATCTTCTGACCCTAGATTGCGAGGATTCCACTTCCAGGACAAACATGGCTGCCTTTTACAATAAACCAAAGGCACTGTTTTAGCAGATATGGGGCATGTGCCTGACAGTCTTTTTCTAAAGCACAGCAAGGCATTCTGATCTAGAGAAATATACTGGAATAAATTGTGGTTAAAATAGAATTAGAGAGTCAGTGGTAGAACAAGGAGAGTCAGTGGTAGAACAGGCCCAGATCCATGTCAGTTACATAACCTTCCCTTCATCGGAGAAGTCTGCTTGATACAAACTCTCTTTTCCTTTCTGCGATGAATTTTCAGGAAGGAGTCCCCCTTCATTTCTCCCTCTTGTGTGTCTGGACAGTACTGTGGTATTGAAGAGACAGACAGCTGGGAGTAAAGTCATATGTATATTCAATAACCTACTGTTATACAAGCCCAGAGGATACAACCCCTCAATTCATTCAGTCAACATGAGGAGAAGAAGAGCAAATATGAGCTTGCTGGTCCTGCTCCCTGCCTTCACATGATCATGGCTCCTCAGCATGGTGCCAATGTGCTCCCTCCCTGTGATTGGGAACTCTATTTTCAAAATGTTTCTGATCACAGGGAGGGAGTGCCTGTGCAGTGGCACCATGCTGACAAGCTTGCGATAGTGTGGAGACAGGGGGTGAGGCCAGCACGCGCTCGTGCCCACTCTCCCTTCCCATGTGTTGACTGAAGAAGTGGAGAGGTCAAGTGCTCAGGGCCACAGCAATCTTTCTTTTTCTGAAAAACAAACAGACCCCCCACTCCTTTTAGCCTTCTGTTGCTGGCCAGTCAGACTGCGCAGGATCTAAATCCTACCCTGAACTCTGTTATCAAAGCACTGCATCTACGTTATTGTTACGTGCACTAAGCTTGTGTGGCTGCCTCCTTCCTTTGGCAGGTTTTCTGGAAAATTGCCCCTGAAGTCTAAAAAGGGAAACCTTCTGGTTTAGCATGAGCTGCAGGTGGGAGGGAAAGTCCTGCAAAGTTCCAGAAGAGCAGCCATGTTCACTTGTGACAACACAAGTATAACAACTTTGTTGTCCTTGGCATGTTGAGAACAAATTGGATCTTGGCATAAGATTCTGTTCACGACAGATTATTTCATCCAGTGCATGTGTTCATGCTGACGAGAGCAGATGGTTCTTCTTTCAGCTTCAGTCCGGTGTGGAATTACTCCTGTCTCCAGAAGTAGTGAGCACGTTGGCTTTCTCTGACAGCCTGATGCACAGCTTGTATAGTGGACTCAAGAAGATAAGGAGTTCCCCACTGACTGAGTCTTCTGCTGGACTCCTCATACTGATTCTCAAGTCCATGTTTATTTTTTGGTTCAAAGCCTCTGCCCTGGGAGTTTGAGACTCTTCCCTGGTCAGTGGAGTAGTCTTGAGTTGTCTTGACAGTCTTTCAAAAGCCCAGCTGCATTTTCCCAGGGTACCACACAAGCTTCTGGCCTGCTGTTGAGTCCTAATAGTTGCACTCCGCAGATGGCTCCCCCACTGGCTGCATGACTGTTGCCCCAGATTGGTTTCTTCTTCTTCTTTTTTTTCTTTAGTATTAGGAGACATTTGAAAAGCATTTATTTACCTGAATGGATAGGTGTTAATGATTGGGTTGGCCAAAGTGAGGAGGGGTTAAGACAGGCAGTGCATCTGTTCATGTGGCCACGTGTCAGATTCCTGTCAAGGGCAAGAGTGGAGTTCAGAGCAGCTCACTTAAACTGGCATTCTGGAACCCTCACTTGGGGCCAAAGAAGAGTGCAAATCTGACTTTTTATACGTTCTGTTACCTGGCAAAAACTTGAAAGGCAGAGAAAGGGGCTGTGGAATCATACTTCTTTTGCAGTAATCGCTGCCTGACAATCGTGGAGCGGAAATCTCTCATCTCTCTCTCTGGGCTTCCTTGGCTTTTTGCCCCAGGCCCTTTGAATTGCCTGCAGCCAGCTGCTCACAAGCAGCTACTATGAATGAGCTTGAGGCTGAATGCTGCCCCTGTGAGCACAGTTGATTGAAGGCAGCGGAGAACAGGTGGGAGGTGGAGAGGATTACAGAAGGGGGAAAGCTGACAAAGAGAAGATTAGATGCACTTAGAGTTGCCAACGCCTGACACCATGAGGAGGCCAGAGCCTACCCTAACATAGCCTCTCTCCAGCTTGTCTCACCAATTGAGTTCTCGTTCCCTGCCTATTTCCTTTTGGTCTCTTTCCTGCTTTCCCGATCCTTTGAGTATTTGTGAACTGTAGTTTGGAGAACAAACTAGCAGAGGTGGCACTCTTCTCATTGCATCTCCTTTGCCAAGCCTTCTGCCATGCTTAATATGCTTCTAGGTAGGGCTCCATGCTGTGACTTGGATTGCTCATCCTCTCTTGCGTTGGTTCTCTGAGGTTAAAAACTACTTTGTCCCTTGTGTCCCAGCATCCTCCATATGCTAAATAGAGGCTGATGACATCAATGACATGGTTGAAGCATTGGTTATCAAGACTGGAGGACATCAGACTAGGGAGGCAAGCTGTTATGCCAGTAAACCCACCACCATCACCACCACCATACAGATTTGGCTGCTTGGTGGTATCAAGCTAGTTAAAGTTGCTGTGCATGGAGTCTAGCTATGGGCTTTGAAGGTACTGTTTGTCAAAAAGGTAATTAATTATTTAGGATGATGGTTATTTTGCCTGGTCCAAGGAGTTTGATGGTAGCCTGATTTGTTCTCAGTTGCTTCATCTGCTGTACTAGCTATGCCTAGGTGAAACTTGATAGCACCTTAAGCAATATAGACCTTTCTTTTTTGCTGCTTTTTGGCTTTGCTTAATTTTTCCTTGGCATTTAGAGAACGTGCCCTCCATCTGCTTTATGCATTGGGGGCAGTTAGAAGAACAGCATTGGACTTTGAAGAGCTATGGATACCATGTAATAACACATAAAGACTTTGGCCTCTGCTCGGCATACTTTGAAGCCTTCCTCCAACTTACATGGGTCTTCTGCTGGAGTGGGAGGAGAGAGAGGCCTTTGTGCTATTGGATGCCCCTGTGTATTGCAAAATACATAATCTGGTGCACCATATGACATTGTGAGACTTCGAGTACTTGTTCTGAAGTTTCTAGACTTTGTGGGTTCAGAAAATTATGAAACTAGAGAGCTAATGAAATCTATCTCAGTAACAAGTAGGGGATAGGATAGCATTTGGGAGTCTTACACTTTCTTTACACCTCTGCATCTTGCTCAAAGCCTGTAGTTTTTTTCTTTTGCTTCTAAAGTCTGAGACAGATTTTCTTCCACTTATTTCCCATGGAAATATGCAGTCTGAAGGAAACAGATGCAAATATGTGTGGTTTGTCCTATGCATATCATTTGATAGTTTCGCCCAGAATAAGTTTTGGTTTCACCATCTCATTGTTAGGGATTATAGGGGTGTATTCTTCCAATGAAGACTGTGAAGATAAACAATTTTAGATGTGAAGTGGTTAATGACAACAGTGGGTATTGTATCACATTACCCAGCATACGATCCGTGGAGTTTCCTCACATACTTTAGTGACCTTTGTCTTGTACACAGCTCACTGGATGCTTCCAGGAAGTGAGAATCCCAAAATGCATAGCTGAACTCACATATGAATTCAGTTTCATTGCTTACAGCAAGCAAAAGCAGTACTGGGGCTTTGTATTAGGAGCACTAGTTTATCACTCTCACATTACTCAGGCTGTGATCATATGCACGATTAGACCTGCCATAGGCGGAAATGCCGGGTGGATTTAAAGGGCGCAGTCAGACAACAACATCTGAGAAGTGTCCCGCAGCTGTTGGCAACCCGTTCTGCTCCACCGCAGAAGCAGAGTTAAAAGACACCAGGGAAAATCCGGTAGTAAATGGGTTGCGATGGGCCACAGATGGACTTTCCCCTGTCTGATCGCTCCAGCATGCTCTCATGGCATCGGGATGGTCTGATGAGGCCATCCCGGATCCGCCCCGTTTTTTCCCCCCCCCCCTCAGTAGGTGCATCATCACACACTCCATAGGGAGCCCTCAGTGAGGAGATGCGATTAATTGATTCCTTGTTTAAGTGCATCGGAAACGAACAGCAAAAAACCCCAAACCGGACTCATCCGCAGTTGCGTCTGATCATCAGTGGCGGGCTGTACCTGCAGCTCCAAAGAACTGTGTGATCGTGCAACTGCGGGTCAAATTTCTCCGGAGGAAATAGCCTCGCATCCCCCCCCCCCCGCTTTATTTCACGCGCGTGACCACAACCGAAGTCAGGAGCTGCTTTCTGAACAGTGCTGGAGACTCCCTTGCAAAGTAGACTTGGAAAGTTCATTTCACAGGATGAGGAGCTTGCAGTGACTGTGCAGAATCCCTGATTAATGCGTCTAAATTTCCTTAACCAATCTTCCTTCCTTTCATACCTAATGTTTTTCCTTTCCTTCACATGTACTTGCAGTGTGGCCAAGAAGCCTAGAATGGCCCTTGCTGAGTCCTTATTGCAGCTGGTGGAGGTTTTAGAGGCCACAGTTACTCGAACCATCTTGGGGAAGGAGTGTTGGGTGTTTCTATTTTTACTTGCCACATCCTCTGTCAATTTCTAAGAACCATATGTGTGTTCTTTGTAAGATTGTGTGTCTATAACAGGATCCTGTAAACAGAGCCAGCCTCAAGGACCATGTTGGGGATCTAGTCAGAACTCTGAGACTCTGCAAGACAAAATGTCAGTTTATTGCAAGCTGGGGGGCAAGATGGTGACCTCTGGCCTTTAGAGATGACATGGAGATATGTGAGGCCCTGGTGCTTGTTGGGGCTCACCACCATGACTCACAGCAAAAGCAGAGCCTCATAGAGCCATGTCATTGCTGTATGCAAATCCTTCGAGACTTCAGGTTAGGATTTTCTCTTGCACTCAGATCATTACATTAGCAGTAATATTCTCTGGAGAATTCAGTTACAGCTAGTTTGTAATATTCCTCTGAGATGGCGTGGACTCCAGTCTTTGTGGCAGTACCTTAAGAATTCAGCTCTTTAGGTATTATAACAGGAGCAGGAGGGAGTGTTATATTGTCATTGCTGTATGCAAATCCTTCTAGACTTCATGTTAGGATTTTCTCTTGCACTCAGATCATTACATTAGCAGTAATATTCTCTGGAGAATTCAGTTACAGCTAGTTTGTAATATTCCTCTGAGATGGCGTGGACTCCAGTTTTTGTGCCAGTACCTTAAGAATTCAGCTCTTTAGGTATTATAACAGGAGCAGGAGGGAGTGTTATATTGTTGTGTTCTGCTCAAGGAGTGTCTGAGTGCTACTTTGTAGATTTCACTGTCCCTTGTCCATAAGAACATAAGAGATGCCAATGTTGGATCAGGTCCAGTGAATGCCATCATGGAATTGGAATGTGGTCATCTGAGTACTCCCTCACCCTTCTTCTAAGTAGCTTGGTGCAATATCCTCACAAGACTCTAGCTACCCCCCTTCAGCGTATAGACTCTGCCAGTTAATCAGTAGGAAAAAATAATTCTCTGCTAATTCAACAGGATAGTGTCACCCTCTGTTTCTTCCTTGCATTCCACCAAACAAACCTGGACTTCTGTAGGGCACAGGAGTTAGTTCTACCATCTTCTACCTGAGTCCAAAGGAACCTGAGTGGTATACCCTTGACATGGGCTGTACTCTTAAATTTTACATTGATCTATTGGTATTTATTGGTTTGTTTTAACTTAGTTTCTAAATTGAGATTTGTATACTATTTTGCTGTAAGCCGCCCTGAGCCATAGGGAAGGGCAGCCTAATAAATCCAATTTAATAAATAAATCACAGTGAACCTCTTCTTCAACACAACCTTTTTGGTTCCTTTTACCCTTTCCCCTGTAGGGAA